ATATATATATATATATATATATATATATAAATATTTATCAGATATATGATATATATATATATATATATATATATTTTTTTTTTTTTTTACTTATTTTATTTAAGTGGTTAAATAAATCAAATTCCATAAATATATTGTGTCAACTTGAGATCTGTTTGACAGCATTAAAAATTCCAAATTTTATTGTTTATGGATTAAATGATCAATTATTACTGCTAACACTTGATTGCAATATTGCCTTTTTGTATTTACAGTATAACACAAGTCAATAAAAAATGTGCAAATCAAAAATGTCTCAGATGGTCATTTGGATTTTATCCACCTACAAAATAAATAAATAAATTTCAAACTACCATTATGAATATGCTTCAAACTTCCTATTTTATAACCTTCGTATAACCATGTTTTTTATTAGTTATTCTATCTGGAGTCGACAAGAAACTAGTAAAACATTAAAACTTGTTTGAGACAGATTTTAAGGATCACTTTTGTGACATTTGGGTCATTCTTTATACTATTTGTTTATTGTGTCCTGTATAAATTGGTTTTAATTAGAACCAGATTTAATTATTTTGAGGCCCAAGGTGGAGCACAGGCATGGAGACCGTCCACTGCAAGCATCCCCCCCCCCCCCAACCCAAATCTTATTTATTGAGACCTACTTACAGTTTATTATAGTTTTTTTGTCATATGAATATCCTACCTGTCAGGTGAGTCACATTTGAAATAAATGTCAAATTCTATTTCTAGCAATTGCACTGATTCTGACATTTGTTAACATCTGTATTGTACGTGTGCAGCGAGACTGGAGAAAAGTCCAATAATTTGATATTGTAGGGGGAGGGGGAAGGTGACACAATGATCTAGTCAGCATTTTGAAGATGTTTTGGACTGTAACAGTTTTTCAACATAATGAAAAAATAAAATAAATGCTGTACGGTTATTAGATATGTCATCAGGCCCCAAGCATCTTGAGGCCTTCCATTGCCTGATGATAAATCTCCCATTCTTTCTTAGAAGACTTTGTTTGTATTTGGCTAAAACGTGGAGTGCATAAAAGTGAGTTGTGTTGTTTTCTCTCCCCAACCCCGAGGACAGGTCTGAGGATCCTTACCAGCCCCTCCTCCCCGGGTCGCAGCGAGGTAACTGCCAGGTCATTGCCGCTCTCATCAAAGGCGTTGATGTCGATTCCCCAGTTGGTGTGGGGCTGTTTGAACCAGTTCTGCAACACGTGCTTAAAGTCAATGCTTTGCCAGTGGCCGACCCTCGAGTTGAGCTCTATCTTCAACGAGCGGATCCGGATGTGGCGGCTGCCCTGCTCTGTGACGGGCTTCAGTCGCAGAATCTGCAGGTAGACCGTGGAGGTCTGCTGCAGCGGTCGCAGATACACCCACAGCTGGGCCTTCAGCACCTTGGTGAACATTAGTTTAGGGCTGAACTTGAAGAAGCAGCAACTGGGCTTCCCGTTCACCTGCACCAGGGGCTCCGCTGTGGAATAAAAGACAAGAATGGATGAAAACGACAACTGAGCCATTAAGAATCCATCCATATCATCCTCACATGCTTGCATTTCCAACAAGGCTGTGATGACCTCTGCACATGTTAAGTCATGGACTCATCTCATCTTTATATAAAAGAAGCTATAAAAAGCTACAGACATTGCTGCTATTACTTATTATTTTTCAACAAGAGTTTGGGAAATGCAGCTTTATGCAGTAAAAGACATCCATCAAACGTTTTGTAACAAATTAGAACTCAAACTATAGTACAACTTTCATAAATTCACTAGGTACACAAGAGGATTTTATTGAAAGAATGTCTATTATTGTTATTCATTCGTTTAGTCATTCTTTTTCTGTATTTTATCCAGTTCAGGGCCGCAGGGAGATGGAGCTTATCACCACTGAAGCAGTCAGGCACAACTTGAACAGACTAAAGCATTCAGCCATGCACTTTCACACGCAGCTCCATGCTCAGTTAACCTAACATGCACGTATTTGGACTGTGCCAACACCCATAAAAGGCCCACAGTCACTGTTTAATATCTGTCTGTGAGCAGTACATCTAACCACTACCCTACCATGCAGATCTCTACAAGTTCATTCTGAAAATATTCTGCACGAATGTTTAACATTATCGCAAATACTCATAAAATGATTTTTTTTTTTAGATGCTCAGTGCCTTAAAAGGATAGTTGAGTTCTTTGAAGACGTGTTCTAAGAGATGTTTTCAGTAATCCATACTGATAATGTTATGAGTTACTCCTGCAGGTAAGACACTGATTACTGAAAACAATGCCACAGAACGTCACTTCAGAAGATCTCAAACTATTCCATATAAGAAAACTTGTTTGTACATTGGACATGAAACATTAAAGCAATATGGTTCAGCTAAATGGTTCACACTTACACAGTGATGGTTTACAGTTTTTCATTCACCAATTCACACACTTGGTTTTCTATTATAAATATATTATTTAGGCATTATATTCTGTACTTTCTTATAATCTCACTCATGCGCCAACGCTTCTTGAACTTAACCCTCGACCTTCCTACCTCTGGGCCAAGCTGCCTTCCACCATGTTTGTACCCAGAAAGATATTAAAAAGTGGTATGCGTTGTCATCATTGTATGTTTCTATACAATAAAAAATTTTGAGCTCTGCATTTAACCCATCACATGTGAGAAACACCCAGGTGGAGCAGTGGGCAGCTATGTAAGCGCCTGGAGAGCAGTTGGGGATAGGTGTCTTAAACTGCATTACCAGTGATTTTTAAGGCTCTTTAAACAGCTTATATGATGTAATTACCAAATCAGTCCTGTCCTTTATGGTTTGTCATGTCAGAACCAGCAGTTTACAGAAACTTTCATTCAAACTAAGAAGAAATGACCTGTGCTCATTTTTACAGCATGAGCTTGTAAAACATATCGGATCCAGAGTATTATTTTTGTCTAATAAACTGGCCGGTTTATGTCCATCTGCAAGAAATCAGTTGTACATCATCTGAGCACACGGACCTTTTATTTGGTCTATTCAGTCGGGTACATTTGTGATTACTTTAAGGTTCTAAAACAGATCTATTTGCATATTAAAACAAGAATCGGTAATGGTGGCCAGTGGCCAGATGGTAACCTCAGATTCCCCTGGGTCAGCCTTAATGAAATGGACTATGTTACAACAAGAAAAATTAAAACAACTCCCGTTTTTTTTTTTATTTCCTGGGGACACCTCTTTGGTAGAAATATATTTAGAGAGAGTGGATTAAGAGTTATGTCAGAGGACACAAGCTGCCTCTTGAAATGTGGCAGATTTATTCCTGTCATGATCCGCGGCTCATGGTATTTCATGTGATTTGCACCCCGTGTCAGATCTGCATATGGTTCATTTACATAGACCTCCATCTGATCTAATGACATCCATCCGTTGAATTCATACATTCATTTCCATGTAAAGTGTTCTTTTATTAAGGGAAATTTATTCTGTATCTGTCCGGCATGTGAATGCACTAACAGAGTACAATAGAATATTTATTCCGCCTGTTTTTTCTCTGGCTATATTTGACATCAGATTTTGGCCCAAAAAAGGAAAAATGATTGTGGGGTCGGTTGTTTATCTCGTAAACAGATGAAAAATCCTATTGGGATAAGCAGAAAAACAGTGTGGACCTGTCAATCACTGCTAAATCTGAGGTTGCTCAGGCAACCTGCAAATGCTTCCTGGGTCAAAAGGTTATTTGGCACCTCGGTCTAGTTAAGAAATGGGATCAGGGGTCAAAACCGTCAGCCCCTTTACATCTCAGGGGTGCTGGGGGAGGGTGGCCCTAACAGCCAGATTGAGTTTGAAGGTCAAGGTCAACCCTATGGCAATGGTAATATGTCTTTCTTCACATCACGCCTTTTTTTTTTAGTACAGAATCGCTCCGGATCTCAGCGACACAACAGCCACAGTTTGTTTTTGTTTTGATTAGGGTGGAGATTCTCCGGCCAATGGTGAACTGTTTATCCAACGCCATTGACCAGGAAAGAACACTGCGTGTGTGTGTTTGCTTTCTTTTTTGTTTTTAGTATTGTAATTGAATTACTGGCATGCATTCAGGGATATGAATTCACTGCGGTACACTGAGTAAGAGCCAAGCTAGGGACAGACGTGGTCGTTCAGCCTGTGTTTCCAAGCACAGTCATTAGCGAGTGTAAATTATACAAGGTCTCACGCTGAACGAACAATATGTCAATGTTCTCATCTTTTACTGGGCTGGTGATTAACGTGGGCGTTGTTGTGTTTGCTCATCAGCACAAAAACCGGGGATGAATGATTCTGCAGTTTGTTTTAGGCTGTACTTGTGCTGCGCTTACTACTTTTGGGGACAGATGCACAGCAGGTTTCGTCGGTTCGGTTGGTTTCCTAAAGAACGGCAACGGTTTTGCAAACGCCTCGGAGGTGAAATGGTTCAGGAGTAACCCGAGAAGCAAGGTCCTGTTTGTTGTAACCCCAGTTATTAAACACACCTGCACAACACATGAGCCACGTCATGTCAAACAATGACTGCATTGATACGAGAAATCAGTTTGTGCCTTTATAGATCTTGTAAATGCACAAGCTCGAGGCCTGCAGCTTAATTACAGCCCGTGTCTTGGCGGAGCATTCCATTTGGGCAAAATGAGCATGGTTAGCTTGTAAAGACCAGAAAAGCAAGGGGACATTTAATCCTTCTACCTGAACTCACTCTTTTTTTGGACCAAGAGAGCACATTGTTGGAGTAAAGCCAGTACTTTTACTGCAAGGCTTTTTATAGCTTAATTTCCTGGCTAATTTGCCTGGTTTAAAGCTCAGAGCTGAAATGCTCTGATTCAAGTATAGAAAGTAAAAAAAAAACATGGAATTTAGATTTTTGCATTCAGCACCACCTGCTGGATCAACAAAACCTCTTTGCTTAGCCGAACTCGAGAAGACCAAACGGAATAAACCCTCAACAGCCCATGAGTCGCTCCTATTCTGCTCAAATCCACATGGAGAGGACAGTGGATGTGCCTTTTTTTTTCTCAAAGGAAACAAGTTTGTTAGATATTCCCCCTCGTGTTCAGCATGCTTAATCATAACAGCACCTTGTTTCCCTGTGGTATAATTACAGCATATGCAGCGCATGAATTTTACTGCCAACATGCAGCAGGCCTGCAGGTGGGCCTATCAAACATCTGGTGGACTCCTTGGGTACCTGTGCTCCATAGTTAGCCTCCTATACACACATGTAAAGGGGAGGCATATAGAATATAGGGGTTTATTCATCATGCCATCTGTTCGTTTTCATCGAATCGTAGCCCCATTTAAATGGTTTTAGCTGTAATGTCACTGAGGCGTAGACGAGAACTGAGCCACTTACACTGTTGAAAACAGATGGCAGGGGTGGGTGGGTGAGTAATACAATGAATGAGTGAAATGTTGCTGAAAAAGCGAGCTGAAAAACAACGTAGATGATTTAATAACAGATGCTAATATTAATTTGCGTCCCAAAATAAGCATGTTGTCTTTTGTTCTTATTGTTTTGAAGTTGGTTTTGTTGCCAAACCGCCTCTTTCCGTCAACTTTCGCAATAAGCTTTGCAATATTTACCACAACGAGCTCTCCATTCAGGAACAAGTTATTAAAACAAGCTCATATGTTAAATCAGTTTATGCTGTTAAATGAGCAAGTATAAATTGGATTTAAAACTGAATTGATATGTTAGTGATCAGGTTGGAATAGCTAAAATGATCACAAATAAAACCTTTGAGACAATGTTTATTACCTGCCTCCTTTTTTGCTTTTAGTAAGAGTTAAACTAAAAGCCTTTGTAAAAATAATAACCATTTTGCTCAAAGATTAAAATGAACTATTGCAAGAATGTGAACAATTTATTAGCAGTCTCTGTTGAGGATGACTCTCAGCTACTACCACATCAAACTATAACTCAATATATGTACAAGTGACTATGTTGTAGCCATTTTGTGCTTCCTAAGGTCACTTAGATGTAGATGCCGTCTTGAATTGAGTTGACTCCAATGGTCAATCAGTTGTAGATGTATATTCATCAATTAGTTTTTGTAAGTTTTATTGAAATCCATCTTGTGGTTTTTGAGATATTTTGCTAACAGACAGTATTTACTCCAATGGTTGATGGCTTAGTTTCAAAAACAGATTTCACTCAATCGATTACAGCTCAGAGTATGTGTTAGGGATCACTTTCAGCTACTACCACACCAGATTTCCCCTCAGTATCTGTACAAATAATTGAGCTATAGCCATTTTTGTTTTCTACGGTCAGTTAGCTATGGCGGCCATCTTGAATCAGGTTGACTCCAAATTCCCTTGTGGACGTGCATCTGATGGTTACGGTACTTTCGGAGAGGTTTTGCAAAAATCCATGCAGTGGTTCATGAGATATTTTGCTAACAAACTAAAAACTAAACACAAAGAGAGAGGCAACTGCACGATCGCCCACTTTCAGTGGTGGA